CCTTGGCACAGGCTGCCCGGGGAGGGGGTGGAGTCACCGTCCCTGGAGGTGTTCAAAAAACTTGTGGACGTGGCACTTGGGGACATGGTTTAGTGGACATGGTGGTGTTGGGTTGATGGTTGGACTTGATCTTAAAGGTCTTTTCCAACCTTAATGATTCTGTGATTCTGCGATTCTATGAACTAACTGCGGTGTAGAGAGGGTGCAGGATCCTCTCTGACCCCAACCCCTTCCTTGCCCACCATGCCCGGGTGCAGCGCAGGGTCTCCGTGGTTCATCTCCGTGCAGCTCCAGGTGCCGCCATGGCCCTGGGATGGGGTGGTGAGACAGCCGTGCAGTGCAGCCTGGCCCTGGGCTGCAGTTCGCAGGATGCTGCCTGTGCAGCCCCACACCTGCTCTGCCAACTTGCCGAGGGGGAGCTCCCGGGGAGGTAGCCCTCTTAATGGTCCCATCTGTGGTGGTGGCAGCCCCCCAGCTCTCCTGGTCTGCACAAGCATCAGGAGGAGCTCATGTCTCAAGTACATTGCACAAATGAACACAAACCTGAAGGGGCTGGAAGCCTTTATTGGATCTTGTGCACAGGGTACACGCACCACAGAGCAACTGAGCAAATTCAGGTCTTCCAGAACCATCCGGGATGTTCACCGCAGGCATCCCCACAGAGTCACCTTCAGTCAGGTCGTGTGACACCCCCAGGCCTTCCCTTGATGGCTGACAGCTGCTATGTGACCCACAGTCTACCTGGAATCACCACCTCACCTTATCCTCCTGATTTGGTAAGTGTTCTGAACCGTCTGGCCATCGGCTATAAGAGGTGATCAGAACCGCAAAGTTAAAAGCTCGCTTGCTCACGTTACCTCCGTGGCTGATGTGCGCAGTCTTGCTAGTCTTGGTAGGTCTCAGGATGGTGCGGAGTTATGTCAGGCCCATCCCAGGAAGGGACAAAAAGAGGCTTAAGAACCTGGGAACGGTGTTAGGTGACATCTCTTGTGAAATGGTTCCGGTCCCTTTGGTGAGGGACAGACCCGCGGGGAGAGCCAGGCTGCCAGAGGATGGTAGGGCTTCCCTGTACTTACATGTGTTCTTGCTTTGCTTTTAAACTTTACGTAAGGAGCTGGATGCAGGAGAGCATCCTCTCTGGAACGCAGAAATGTTGCATGGGATGTAAAAGGATTCCTACGTGGAATTCTACGTGGTAAGACCCACAGAGAGGCTTTTGTAAAAAAAAAATCTGAAGTCATAGAGCAATAAAAACCATGGGGTTGCTCTAACAACAGCAAGTAGTTGCAAAATGAACACACAAAAGCTTGAGCTGCTTTTAAGGAAAATAGTTTGCATTTGCCAGAACTTGAGAATCCAATAAGATGTTGCTGTCCTGGGTCCACCTGGGTAATTTTTTTTCTCCTCTGTTTTTCTATGCATGACTTTGCCTTCTTTTCTGAAGAATATCTCAGCCTAGAGATCTGGCTTTGCAGTGGAGGCTGCTGCCCTACTCCAGCCTAAGCTATAGCAGACCAAGTAACAGTGACAGAAAAAAGTTGCATGCTGAGAAGTGCTACCCAAGGATGATAAAAAAGCTCAGCGCTTGTTCCCAGGAAGTGTGGAGACTCCACGATGCTTCTCAGGGTGGGTGTAGGAGACCTTGTGCTCCCAAAATACTCCCTCCCTCCCCATCACCACATCTTCTTTTGCCTTCCCCTGTAGCTTCTGCTCTTTCCTGTAAGCAACACTCTACCTGCGCAAGCAGAGGATTTATCTTCTTTCCCTTGGTCTTGGAGACCATTTCTATGTCACTTGACATTTCTTCTTGGATTCAGGGTAGAATTTTTGAAATTTAAGCAGCACAAATCTCAAAATAGCTCTGAGATTTGTTATAAATATACACATTTCTCTCTGAAATACAGGGGAGCTGTAGAATAGGGAAACTATGACTCACTATGTCTGTGAAACTACGACTGCAAAATACTGCATCTTCATTATCAAAGCCAGCACCAAGATGTGATGAAACATGGAGCACATCAAGTGCTTCTGACGCTCAGACAGAAGTTAACATATGAAATTTCCCAGTCAAAAATAGGAGAGTGCTGTTGAGATGGTGTAACCCTCCCCAGCTCACCTGTCTGAAACGCCCACCTTTTCACTATCCAAATGCCGATTCTTTTATGGTTGTGGCTAGAGACATCTCTCAGGTGTGAACACGACAGCTTCTTCATTTTTTCTTACACTAATGTTTCAAACTGTCTAATACGAAGTGGTAGATCAGCAGTAGAACATACATGACAATAGTGCAACAGGGAGGAGAGATGGCAATGTGGCAAGACTTCGACGTTTCTTGTTATTGTCCTTTCGTAAGACACAGAAACAGCCCAGAAAAGGCACCTGTAGTTGTTTGTTTGTAGAATAATCTAGGAGCGCTGCCGAGCTGATCCTAACTAAGATTCAGGATATTCTGGTCACAGGGGAATTGCTGACAAGTGCCTCTCCGCTGCTTTATGCGGCAGCATCTTTGCATCCTTATCCCAGAATAGATCCTGCTCTTCCTGGTCTCAACTGGGCTAAACTGCTGACAACTGCAACACTGTGGCTGCTGAAAAACTTTTTGCTGGCAGCATGATTGATTTGATTTGCCTGCAGGATGAGAATTGTACAGTGAGCTTATTTACATCCTATTTTTAAATACTCTTTACCATTCAGGCGCTGTTCAGATCGCAGATATGCACACTGAAAACAACGCTCCTGCTGAGGTTCCGTCGCAATATTGAAAAACCAATGAAAACCCACTCCCTTCTTTTTTCTGATTCAAGGCAGACTTTTGTCTTTCCATCAGTAAGGTATGGTACCACAAACCGCCATTTACAGCAGGTAAAATGATTTTTTAAAAAAGACCAAAAAAAAGCAGCATTTAGCACGTTACGGCTTTAATCCAGTCAAGTTTATTGTTATTAAAAATCAAATATCCACTGCTGCAAATTTAACTGGCATTTTACAAACAGAAACGAGTTCCCTGCCTTGAAGGCTCACAATCTAAGTAACAAAAGTGTAAAACATAAAGAAGCAGTTTAATCGGAGTCAGTAGGAAATCACTGGAGAACTGATTAGTTTACCTGATTATTGGACAGGACCCAAACTACTTGTCTGGGTATCAAATGCCCCGTACTGCTAACTGCCAAGGGACTCTCCTTCAGCACGTCAAACAGTGGAGAAAAACCGGTCTGTGTTCACTGCTTTATGGTAGCAAGTGGCCACTGAACACCGAGAAGTGACAAAGCACAAAACCCTCTGCCTTCACAGATTTCTTATTTGGAAAAAAAAGGGATACGTGCACAGAGAGGAGCTCACCACACATAGACTACTCAGACATGTCAGGAGCCGTGAAATCAAAGACCTCAGCAGCACTAGGATGAGAAGAAGCAGCAGACGGTCACCAGGCAAACACCTGAAGCGGTTGAAGACACTTCGGCACGCATAGCACTGTACCATCTCCCACAGGGCAGGTTCAGAGAGGTTCACACAGGCTCATCCCAATCTCTTCTGGGCAAGAATCAGATCAGTTAAAACAGCCCAGAGCTCTGAGCTGGCCTCACTGGCTGGGTCGAAGCAGGCACAGGAGTGCTCCTGTCTTACGCTCTGCTGGCAGGGCAGGAGACAAGAAACGTGGCCAAAGGAGTTTCCAGACTAAAACATCCGCCACAGCAGCCAATTGGAGCCAGAAGAACATCTCTGTCTCTGAGGGAATGAGGCAGCCTCCTGCACCCTCCCGTTGGCAGACACTTTGGGACCAGGAAGCAACAGAGGGGTTTCTGAAGCCCAATTAGTGATGAGGAAAATGAGCAGCAGGTTTAAACCAGGTCAGGCAGCAACACCAGCCCTGAAGTTGCACTATGTATTTGGGCAATTTGCTAAACACATGTCAGATGCTGGGAAATTTCTCTTAACAGTTTGGGATATGATGGAAGCTGATCCCCAAGAACAAAACACATCTGTGCCCCAAGCTAGCAGGAGGAAAGGGAGGTAAAGACAATAATGAAATAGAAAGAAAAGAAGCGTTAACGTACAGGCAGTCAGCAG